CTTCTGAGAAGAGGGGGATGTTTCTTGCGACCTCTCTTCTTCTGTCAAAATCTCGTCATCATTGGTAACGTCTTCATCCTCATCTTCTTCTGCATCTTCTTCGTTTGTTTCGTGCATGATCAAATCCCTCACATCAGAATCAGAGGTACCCTCACTTGAATTGCTGAGCAAGGTCTGTCCTGACCCATTAGTGGACGTCTGTAACGCCGGAAAGTCTGAAGAAGTGAGAAGGGGAGCAGGAACAGATGACGTGTCTGTCTGCTGCAAAAGACAATGAGATTGAGCTATTACATCCTTTCCCCTTGAATTCAAAGAAAAATGAGAGTTGAGGATGGTGYCWTTTGTTGAGAGMAGATTCCTTCCTTTYGYTGTCAAAACTCCCGGCACTCCKCCATTGTATCGGACAGGGGCCGGCCCCCCGGGTCTTGCATACGRGGCAACTCCCATTTGCCTGAGCATGGCGTGCCTCATTGCTCCTTGGTAAAAGAGCAATGAGGCAGGGCCTTTGGCTCTTTTAAAGCTCATCTTCATTTTCGTGTTGAGTTAGGAATAAGGAGGAGAGAAAGGGAGACGTTAGAATTAAATTTTACCTATTTTTAATTTTACCAACCTTATTGTAAGGAAAGAGATTATTATTGGCCACGTGTGCAGAAATTATGGCTTGGATTCCACAGGTGTATGGGGACTCAAGGGTGTGCCAGAGGACAGATTAGAGGAGGTGCAGTCTCAGGATTGGCTGGAATATGGCGCACGTACTGAAAATTGTAGTGTTGTCTTCTGAAGCTGATCTTCCRTGTTCCCCTTACCACTGTTGTTGAAGGTCATTCCRTCTACAAGCCGAAAACCAGATTTCTTCCGACAGYTGTGCCTCACGTAACCAGCCGATCAATCSACCTAATAAGGGAARAAATGAAARTGATCGTCCTTYTTKAATGAGAAAACGTAGGACACAGCACACGTGGAAGCAGGCGAGAGCAAAAGTGGACGCCGAAAGGAGATGGTATACTAGAAAAGAGGTGAAAGGAGACTGACACCCTTCGAAGAAAAAGGAACTCTCATAGGTGACAAATGACACTATTTTTGGAATGACCTCTCTATTCTTCGATCGTTGACCCTCTGCGAAGAAAAGGAAAATTTCACAGGTGACAGATGATCCTATTTTTGGAATGACCTAACTACTCTACGATCATTGACCATCTGTCCAGGAAGGTTACCTCACGTTGAACTCTCGTCAATTGAAACTAGAAAGAAGGGAGGCGCCAAAATTCAGTCCTATCAGTACCAACCTATTGATTACTCCATTGTGGCACGTCAATCTGTGCTGTGTACAGTAAGTGACTGAAGGCTGCCCCAGTTGAAGTAGAAGTTGAAGTCTCGTCGATTTTAAGGAAAATACGAGGACACCAGTTGTCAAACGTGGCGACTCTGATCGATCTGACGATGGAGATGCGACTTACACATACTTCCCTGACGAGGACACCAATTATCAAGCGTAACAAAGATGATCGATCCTGACGATGAACAGCGACTTACACACACTTCCCTGTCACCGGGGCCTTCTCCGCTCACTCCATGCATGCTAGAACCAGTCAAAGTCAAACATGCTTGAGCCAATTATCGCCTCCTCGGCGAGTATCATGATTGGCGACTGGCCGGCCATTTCGGAGTCAACCGCACTATTGCACGGCTTCGACAGCGATTCYGATGGCYCGACCTCATCACCGACGTCACGAGGTATTGCGACTCTTGCGAAGTTTGCCGACGAAGCAAACCCCGCAACCGCAACCCCTACGGCGAGCTGCGCCCGATGCCGATCCCGCAGGAACCCGGTCTCTCCATTGCCATGGATGTCACCGGACCATTCCCCCGCGACCGCCTCGGACACGACGGCATCCTCACGGTCGTGGACCGATTGAGTAAGTACGCGCGTTTTCTCCCATGCAAGTACTACTCCACGGCTCCCGAGCTGGCACGCCTCCTGCACACCGGCTGGATTTGCGGCCATGGTGTACCGGAAGACAGTCAGCGACCGCGACACTCGCTTCATGTCGGCATTTTGGACTGCACTCATGCAGGAGTCCGGCACGAAGATGAAGCCAAGTTCGGCTCGGCATCCACAGACAGACGGGCAGACGGATCGGGCACATCAGACCGCTCAAATGATGCTTCGTACGCTCATCCGTCCGGACCAGAAAGATTGGGTTGACCGCCTCCTCGACATCAAGTTTGCCTACAACACTTCGGTGCACCTGACGATCGGCATGACTCCATTCGAGTTGCACCACGGTGGACGGAAAGGCCGTATCTTCGCCGACCTTCTCCTCCCACGACCAGCCGACATCGATGCCGCTTGCTCTCCCGCTTCCGTCCGGAAGTACAGGGAATTGCTGGCTCAAGCCCACGCGAATATGCAAAAGGCTCAAGTTCGCATGCAGCAGCAAGCCAACAGGCATCGCGTGCCATGTCCCATTCGCGCCGACGACCTGGTTTGGGTTTCCGCGGAAGAGTTTGCACTGGAACAGGATGTCTCACGCAAACTGCTTCCCAAGTGGTTTGGACCATGGCCCGTAACATCAGCCGCGGGCGATGAGCCCGATGGCCCTTCATTTGTGATCAACATCCCCCCGCACCTGATGGTCCATCCAGTCTTTCACGCCTCAAAGCTGGCGACATACACGCCAGGTAAGAGCGACGACTTTCCGGGCCGACGATCGCAGGACCCTCCTATGGATGGTCATCAGGAAGTTGACCGCGTCATCACCGATCGCAAGTACGGCAGCAAGCCGCGGCAGTACAAAGTTACATTCAAAGCCTGCGATCGAGACGACACTCGGTGGATTTCAGGAGCAGATTTGAAAGCATCCGCACCGCTGATCTACGCGCATTATGAGAAGCAAAGGTTAGCTCAGGAAGCTTCACGACCGGCCCCTCCAACCCGGACTGTGGTCCCTCCCTCAGACAGACAACTTTGCCCTCGCAGATAAGCTCGGTCTTTCAAGGAGGGGGGGGTGTGGCATACTGCGTAGCCACAAGGGCCCTGCAGGGCCCGTCCCGCACTTTCAGCCTAAAAGCCTAGAAAATAGGGCTTACAGGCCCCGGTCGTTTCAGCCTGAAACTAAAAAACGAGGGCCTGCAGGCCCTATTCCGTTTTCAGCCTATTTCTGGGCCTTTCAGGCCCAGAGGCTTTTCAGCCTGAAATGGAGGGCCATTTTCAGGCCGTCATTGTGTTCGACCTACCTAAGACTCAGGCACAAAAACAGGGTTTCGGGAACAGGCTATTTCTGGCCTGTTCCCCACGACAGCAAGCAGGAGCTGCAGCTGCAACCCCTGCCTCCCTTCGGCATTGGCAAGAGCAGCCTCCTTGACTGCCTCGCCTGCAGTCAGGAGGCACCCGGTAGTACATAGGAAGTTCCCATGCACTTCACGGGTAGGTAGTTGGACAGTAGGGACGAGTAGTCTTCAGGATTCGGCCRCAGCACTCAGGAGGAGCGCTGCAGTAGTCTTCAGCGCTGGGCGCCCATAGCTGTAGGTGTAGTCTTCAGCGTCGGGCGCTAGTAGGTGGTAGTAGTAGCGTTGGAGGGAGATGGTTGGCGGAGGCCAGCGGTACTTACCTGTGGCACCATAGCTCCAGCTCCATCTTCGAGGTACCTGCATCAAGGCGCCAACTTCACAGGTTAGTACTGGACACAGAGAGAGAGAGAGAGAGAGTTCTTCTTCTTCCTTTTCAAAGTCCACCATCTCTTCTCACCCTCTCACCACCTGACTTCTCAGACTACGACAGAGAGAGAAAGAGTTGTGACTTTGGGACTTGACGACATTGGATCCAGACTCAACATTTGGGATTCAGACATTTTGACGAGGGACTATTTGGGCCTGTGCCGAAGACTTGGTGTTGACGACATTCCCATCCTCCCCTCCTCTTCGTCTAACCCCCTTCTTCTTCGTCTGTCTATGGTTAAAGCTGGCGCAGTCTTCCTGTGTGAAGCGCCAGACCCCTTTCACACCATGGAACGATGATGATGATGTGTGTTCAGGGCTGCATTGCAACATTGATTGTTCGGATCATTGGTATCTAAGTCTTTCGCTACGCTATCTTGTACTTTGCATTGAGAGGTCGGTTCTTGTTCTGGTCTGCACCGTTACAGTATGCAACATTCCTCCTATGGGGGAAGGCAGCGAAAGATAATATTTTAGCTGTCGAAAAGTCATATCCTTTGTGTTATGTGCCACTTCAGGGTTGCAATGTTCCTAGTAGGACAAAGGCAAGCACGGTGGGAAATAGACTAAGTCTTTAATCCTTGGAGGGGCAGGCCCTCCAAACCTCTGTAGAATAAGAAAATAAGTGTTACAGAGAATTCAAACCTTCTTACTTACCGTCAAGANGTCTTTAATCCTTGGAGGGGCAGGCCCTCCAAACCTCTGTAGAATAAGAAAATAAGTGTTACAGAGAATTCAAACCTTCTTACTTACCGTCAAGAGTTGAAACCAGAGAGGTTGTTCAAGAGATTCCTAGTAGGACAGAGGCAAGCACGGTGGGAAATATACTATGTCTTTAATCCTTGGAGGGGCAGGCCCTCCAAACCTCTGTAGAATAAGAAAATAAGTGT